TGATTGTGTCTACGTGATGTGTCAGTCACTTGAGTGGAAGAGTTATAGGTCAGGGGTGGAGATTTTGGTACTCCCGCAGTTTGGGGATCTTATCTTAGAGAGGTGGATTACCCCTCTAGTTACGGACTATGGAAGTATGTTCAGTTTTGATAGTTGATTGTATGTGTCGTGGATGGGGTCAATGTGGATTTTTGGTAGGATATTGACCTATTTTGGAATTTTTCGAATCGGTTGGGAGTCTCATTAGTAGGCCTAATGAGAATGTGTATTCTACACTGGATTAGATTCGTGCATTCAGTGCAGCATTTTCTATGGATGTGTCATCGGGCAGAATGGATGTTATTCATGCCTTGATCTGTTTTATGTAGTAGTTCCTTATGCTATGATGGGTTATGAGATGACTTGATTATTCACTCATATGTTGTGGTTCTGTCTAGGCCTTGTGGCAATGTTTGAGTGAGATGGCTCTTGAGATGTTGATCTACTTATTGCACCTTAGCCGTGCTTGGCCTTTTTTATTGCGCATTATGCTATCCATCTTCTTATGGTTATGTTTATGCACTTTACGTATTTGCTGTTGTTGCACATGCATTTAGTGAGTATGAGTATTATGGCTCGGTGGCGTATTCCCATGTGGGTTGGCATATATGGACCGAGTTTCACATTGCAACGGTATTATGTGTGGATCGGGTTGCACGCCACGACAGGGTTATGTTGCATATGATTCCTTGTGCTCGTTTTGTGTGTTCTATTTCTCCTATGCGGGATGGGCTCATAGCATTATGCTCTTATCGTTATATCTATTAAACTTGTGGGATAGTTCCCTTTTTGGTTCTCTTTCCCATTATTGATCATATTCGAGTAGTTGCATGTTGGTGCACGGATCGCGTTATCTGAGGTTCTTCATGGTTTTTGATATGTCCTATTGGTCGAGCAGTTTATACTGGGTAAGACGAGGTTATTGGACGTGGAATCAGTGCAATCGGATTTGTATAATGTATGTTTGGAGGAAGAATGTCACTAATCAGCTCAGAATTTAGTAGTGGTTCTTGTCGAGCGAGAGAACTCCATGACTTATTGATTTGACGGGTGGTTATGAATTCTTACATGGTTCTTTCATCATTTGCAGTATTTCAAAGGTTGGAATAAGGTTCATGTGTCATGAGGTATATTACCAGTACCGGGTTTGGTTATTAGCAGTTATTATGGCCGAAAGATATTACTGTGGGTATATGAGTTATGCGGTACATCATGTGGTTATGCCTTGAAAATACATTTATGATTTGTTACAGCTTGTTGAGATTGATACAGTGTGTATGCGTGTGTCTATATATATATATNCTAAGGTTGAAGGAAGAAATTTCAGTCCTGATTGTGTAATGGCCTTATCTGGTATGAGGTGATGTAAGATCACCCATAGGCATCTTTATGATGAGTTATACAGTGATTTTGGCAACTTGTGCATGATTCTTGGCACGTTCAAGGACGAACATATATTTAAGTGGGGGAGAATGTAACGAATCGATCGGTGTTTAGAGTTTCAGCACTTTGTTTGGGGGTTTGATACCTTGAATAGATTCACATTATACATTATGACTTTTGTGTATAGTTGGTTTTGATTTTCTAGAGGTTCGGAGTTGATTTGGAAGAATAATTCTCAATTCGGAAACTTTACGTTGGAAGAGTTTACCAAGGTTTGACTTTTGAGTAAACAACATTGGAATCAGGATTTGATGGTTTCAATAGGTTCGTATTGTGATTTTGGACTTGGGCGTATATTCGGATTTGAATTTGGATATTCCTAGAAGGTATTGGCCTTATTTATAAAAGTTGGAAATTTGAAGAATTAAAGAGTTCATAGGTTTAACCAGCTGTTGACTTTGGTGTTATCGGACTCCTATTTGGGGTTTTGAGATCTTGTATAGGTTCATTTAGTTGATTGGAACTTGTGTGTAAACTTTAGTTGTGATCTGGAATATTTAAGATTGATTCGGACACTTGAGTTGCATACTAGCTAAGTTTAAGAATTTGAGTTGACCGCGGTCAAATAGTGGACTTAACGAGAACGGATTCATGATTTGAAAGTTTCAACAGGTTTGTATGATAATTTTGGACTTATCCGCAAGTTTTGGTTAGATTCTGATAAGTTTCGGATGGGTTTGGGTTGTGTTGCACTCGTATTGGATGTTTCGATGTCATTTCTTCAAACATAAATGGTACCACATTAAACAAATGAGCTCTAAATTATGTTTTGATTGAACTATTAGATTTGTATCGTGATTTCGGAACCATATCAATAAGAATCATCGACTTTTTGTGTTGTATGAGAGAGTCATGCCGATTTTAGTGTTGGGGAAGATTGCTAGTGCTGGTGCACCGCTCAAGCGGTAACACAAAAGCGGATTCTGGGCCGCAGAAATGACTCCTAGGCCCTTAGGACCCCGCAGAAGCGGATTTTGGGTTGCAGAAGCGAAAATCACTGCTACAAAAATTCCAAACTTCGTCTATTTGGTATTTTCAAAATATTTGGAGTTCTAGAGCTCGTATATGGGCGATTTTTGCGACATTTTTCTCTTCTTGAAGAATGGGTAAGTAATTTCTACTTGGATTTTCTTTTATATATATTGTTTCCCCATGGATTTATACACTAAGAATATGAAATTTTGAAGAAAATTTTGGGGGTTTTGCCTACACTTTAAGAGAGCATATTTTGAAGATTTGAGCACCAATTTGGACTCGATTTTGGAAACTAATTATATATTTGGAATCGGCAGGTTATGGGTCAACGGCTTTTAGTATTGGTTCCATGTTTTGGGCATGCGTGCGGGGGTTGACTTTTATTGACTTCTGATGTCGTAGAGAGAGTCATGCTGATTTTAGTATTGGAAAAGATTGTTAGTGTTGGTGTACCGCTGAAGCGGTACCACAAAAGCGGATTTTGAACCGCAGAAGCGACTCCTAGGCCCTTAGGACCCCAAAGAAGCAGATTTTGGGCTGCAGAAGCGAAAATCACGGCTACAAAAATTTCAAACTTCGTCCATTTGGTATTTTCAAAATATTTGGAGTTCTAGAGCTCGGATATGGGCGATTTTTACAATATTTTTCTCGTCTTAAAGAGTGGGTAAGTAATTTCTACTTGGATTTTCTTTTATATATATTGTTTCCCCATGGATTTATACACTAAGAATATGAAAATTTGAAGAAAATTTTGGGGGTTTTGCCTACACTTTAAGATAGCGTATTTTGGGGATTTGAGTACCGATTTGACTCGATTTTGGGAACTAATTATATATTTGGAATCGGCAGGTTATGGGTCAGCAGCTTTTAGTATTGGTTCCATATTTTGGGCATGCGTGCGGGGGTTGACTTTTGACAATTTCTTCAAAGATCGAAGCTTTATGGATTGGGATCACTTCCTATGTCATTATTGACTTCTTTGGATGATGTTTGGCTTGGATTTGTGCAACTGATGGGCTAGATCGAGGTTTTGATGCGATTGGAAGTTGAAGACTAGCCCGGATGAGGTAAGTATCTTGCCTAAGCTTAGTTTGAGGTTAATTTCCCCGTTGTCTATGATATTTGTTATATGTTGGGGGTGACGTATATGCGAAGTGACTAGCGTATATGCGTGCATCATATTTATTCATGATCCGGTAGATCTTAGGTTATTATATGTCTTGTTTTGCTATCATGCTTCTTTGATATCATGTTTCTCCATTTGCATGACTACGTGGGTTATTATTCATGCTACGTATCATGTCTAGGCTATTTGCTTATGTGTTTGAGACATGATAGAGCTATCTTTGCTATTTTGAGCTATTTGCCTTAGTCATAGTCATACTATTCACTCATGATATTATATCCGCATCTTATATCTCTATCTCTGTGCATTTTTTATATGTTGTCTCACATGTTGTTAGTATACCTAATGCATGACACGAGTTTAAGCTGAATTGTAGTACATCGGTTTATTTCGTGTGGTATACCGAATTATGTTTCTTTGTGATGTTGGCACATGGAGATTTGAGCAGGTTGATGACTGATCTTGGGCCATAGAGCTGATTTGATACTGATTTTTGAGGTGATGCGTGTTGCACACTATTTTGCACATGTCAAAATAATATTCAACTAGTGGTTCTTCTGATGTTGATAAAAGAGAGTTGCCACCTAATATTTGAGGTATATTAAGTTACTTATGTGTTCAATAGATTATTATCCTAATGGTCTATTAACCGGTGAGATTTGGGTAAGGGTTCTAGTTATTCTAAGGAGAAAGTATTAGGCATTCCTTAAAATCTACCTGAGGTAGCTCCTTTAAACTTAGGCTAGGTTGAGGGAAGTAAAGGTCTATATTCTACTTAATTAAATGCTTAAAGTCTATGGCATATTCTAAGTCTTGTTTAAAGTCTACTATTTTGAAAGAAAGTTGTATATGTATTTTGAAAAAAAGAATTATATAGGTTTTATAAGGTTATAACTTATGAAAGATCTTTTGAAATGTTCACATGAAAGTTGAGAAAAACTTATGAAGTACTATGTTTTTAAAAGAAGTTTTAAATGTTTTATCTCTTAAAAGGGTGGTTGTTCATGTAACTTTGTGAGATAAAAGATCACTAGAAAATATGTCATGGGTATACCTTTTGTCAAATTAGTTTCAATCGAAGTTATGCTTTTGAATCTCATAGAAGTTTATTAGTTCACAATTACCATCCGTGTTGGTTTTGTTTCTTGAAAATCAGCCTAGTAAACATCCTTTCGATTCTCATTTTTCCAAAGAGAGGTCGTTTCATTTTTCAAATATGTTCAAACTCAAGAGTTTTAAAAGAAAAACTGGTTAGCAATAATAAAACGAAGTCTTTTATTTTATTAAGAAAGTAAGTGATCAAAGCATCGAAGTGTTATAGTGGATATGGTTTTAAACTTGGATTCTCTTTTATTTACCTATGGGCCTTGATTTGCCTATGTGTTCCTAACACTATCAAAAGTATCCAAATAAAATGTAATAACAATGTTAGTTTCAAACAAGACATATTCACATAATAAAGACATAACATTAGCTATTATTTAAAATGAGAGAAAGGGAAAAGGTTGGACTCTTGATGTTGGGCCAGTGGACCAGGCCTAGCAGATCTACAAGCAGCGGCAGACTTCATTCAACAAAGACGTCCTAGACTGGAGTTTGGGCCTGAGTTCCAATGAACTTGGCAGGCCTAATTCAAACATGCACACAAAAGAAATAAAAGACAATTAGTGAAATCAATATGAGGCCCAACAAAAATAAAATCATAACATGATTTAAAGACACAGTGTAACTAATTTCATTTGTATTAAATATGAGTCAATAATTAGAGGCTTAGAGCAAAACCTTATTCATGGGCAAAATACCCTTTGGATCCCTGGCACTTTAGAGTTCACAAGGGTCTCATGGACCCCGAGCAGTGCTTGTGTCAGGGAAGGACACCTTAACCACAAACCAAGTTCCACTCCAAATACCCTTAACCATTCACAACATACACAAATAAGGTGTTCACTTCAGCAATTTACAGGAGAGCAGCAGTGGACATAAAGGTTCAGACACAGAATTTCTAAATAGGACATCATCATCAGAGTAGAGAGATGTGAATAAATCAGAATTACACCATTACTTTAGGATCACAATCCAAATACAAGGAGGCAAGCTACTGGAAGTGATATCAATGATCATTCATGCATCAGAACACTTAAGGAGACTATCACACAGATGTAAAAACAAGAGTAGTAATGGGATTTATCAGCAAACCAATTCCAGTTCAGAAATGCTAAGTTAAGTGATCCAAGTGATAGGGAAGACATGCACATTAATCTCATTAGTTATACTGAGGATTCAACATTTTAGGGATCCTTGACTAGGTTTATAGTACCTCAACAGTCATTTTAACGACCTTCAGAACAATTAGAGATAAACATACACATGGTTGAGACCTCACTATACTAAGCAACTATACTGACAGCCTTATTCAGACTTCCTAAGGGTAAAAACACCAACAGAGGCATCAACATAAGTAGGAGGACCAGTTTTGATCTATTTCGAGCTGGATAATTTACAGCCTCATCTTCTCTTTTTCCAGTTCATTCAGATAGATTATAGCTCATCTTCCATCTCATCTGGTACATGCAACTTTTCAATGGCAGCCTGATAGAAAATGAGGGGGAACAATGAACAGAACTGATATCAGCTTCAACTTGTCAAAACAGTTTGAGAATAAAACATGTATCCTAAAAAAATATGAAAGACTGCGGGACAAAATCATCAGAACTATTCAGAGAGGAACCGACACTGTCAAGAGGCATCCAGTGAGAAGTGGAAATACCACAATTCAGGAAGCGCTGGGAGTTTGTTTGTGTTTGGGG